TTATGGAGGCTACGGCGGTTATGGAGGCTACGGCGGTTATGGAGGCTACGGCGGTTATGGAGGCTACAGCGGTTATGGAGGCTACGGCGGTAATCGAGGCTATGTAGGGTATAGAGGTCATGAAGGGAATAGAGGTTATGGAGGCTATAAAGGCTATAAAAAGTATGGGGGTACCAGAAGATCTTGGGGCTATGAGGGTTTAGGAGGCTTTAAGAGCGAAAACGAAGACCGTACTAACGACATAGTCTCTCTCGACTATGGCTTACCGCGAAATCGTCTCGGCCACATAATCGGGGGTTGAAGCCAAAATCGATTAGGAAGTTTCATCTAAGTTTTCATCTACAAATTTTTCTTAATTATAAATTGACTTATACCTTAATAATATCTGATACAAGACTTAAGATCACTTGATTGCTTAAATCTTAAATAAATACTGACTATGGAGCAGGACTCTGAAACGTTTTCTCGCTGAATTTTTTGGCTGTTTTATTTGCCGTTAAATTCTTGTTAATTATATCGTACTTAATTATAAATATAAGATGACGTTGAGTATTCATTTTGAAATTGCATGTTGAAATCGAACGTTACCGTGTGTGGCACATCAGCTCTGCAAATGAACATTTTCTGTGAATGTTTGCGAGAGAACTCTAGATGGGTATAGTTAACGTTACGTATAATTTCATTTAATGTATTTGACTTCTCTTCAGTTTACCTTATTCAAATTATTTATTTATTTATTTTATTTAGAAACATATGTATTTTGAGTTGCGACCGTCAATATTTTTCAAATGATTCTCTCAATCCGCGGGTACATTCAGTAACTGGCACTAGAGAGAAACTCAACTTCGCACATGTTGCATCGTGCAACGCGTGGCTGTATCGGATGTTGATTTCAGGATACTCGGTTCTACCTCTGACTGTTCGGATTTGAGGATTTTGGAATCACTACACATCTTCAAACGAAAATCTTGTCTCAATAATGCGTTCAGTTCCTGTCTCTTGGAATAGTGAATCGCTTGGCTTTATTGTTCTAGTGTTTTTTAAGGCTATTATGTTCTAGTCTCTTATGACTCAGTGTTCCGTAAGTGCTTGTTTTTCGATTTAAGGTTGTTTTGTTTGTATTTTATTTGTCTTTTTCAAGTTTTAATGTCTGACTTAGAATTTTGAAATATAAAATTATTGTACTAATTTTTTAGATTGTCGAACTGACTATGGAGCTGGACTCCGAAACGTTTTCAATATCGACATGTTGAATCTGCTTGGCATTTTCTTTACTTTTTAGTTCCTTGTGAACTTGCGATTTAAGCAGACTGATAATGTGAGACACTCAACTTAATTTATTGTTTTTGGATAATTTTAATAAGACCACGTGAGTAAAATAATAAACTATCGCTTTTATTATCCAGTCACGAACACATATCGGTACAACTTCAGAAATCAGTCAAACTGCAAATAAAGCGATCTTTAGATTTCAGGAACTTTAAGCTATGGCAAATTTTATTGGATATTTTTGTCTAATCTCCAACAATGTACAAAACTTTAACGCGACCTCCCTTTTCAGTGGAAGGAAAAATGCATTACTACAAGAATGTATATTTAAAGAAACGGCTCATAATAAATAATTTATTAATTCTAAACTGTGTTCATGGGAACACACAAAAAAAAAATCTTGCGAAAAGTGGATTGGCCCGAGTTGTTGCCCGGTGCAAGTCCTCAGAAAATCGGGAGCAAGAGTTTCATCTGGCCAGCGCAAGTCAGCCAGGTAGCACAGATAAACTGACGCGCTAAGTTCCGCGCCGCCCATCCTGTCAAATAAATGCAATTGATTTGAATGTTATGCAACCAATGTAAATATTAGCAAATTAGAGCACGCTGAATATTGCGGTCCAGAATATCGCCAAACGCGTAAGTTGTGGACCTAGCAGCTGTGATCTTAAATTGAGTAGTAATCGTGAAAATAAGCTTATAATAAATTGGTATATAATGAATATATTTTCAGTTGGAAGAAAAGGATGGTTTTATTATTTGGTGAGAGTAGTGAAGGGAAGATGGTTATCCATAATGGAAACCAGTCGTAGCTACAAATTGCCATAACGCCCTGAGCTTTAGTGACGGACAACCAACCAGCAGCATCCGGGCCTTTTCTCAGCTCTGGCAGAGACCCGGACGTCCTCCGTGAGAAGATGAGCTGTTGCTGAAGCCCCAAGATCGTATCGCACCTCAAAGCTGCCACTTCAGACCAGACGCACGCTGAAAGTCTTATTCCATAATGAAGATGTAGCGGACAAAAAGTGAAGATGTGGTGTCGTTGGCAGTCGTAAGAAATCTGACTGGTAGTAGGTGGGCTGAGTCGTACTAGTGACAGCAGTTAGCTTCAATCTTCAAATAAAGATTTGGAGAAAAGAGAAAGGTTGCCCATACATTAATTATAAAAAATGTTGGGAACTGAAGCCGGCCAACTACAATCATAATCAACTTAAACTCAAATAACAGTCTTCCAACTGGAATTATATTAGGAAAGATAAGAATTTTACACAAGTTATTTTCGCTTCTAAGCAAAGGGTCTTCTCTATGGCTGTAGACATCAAATTCACGCGTATCCTACGAGTTTTCCTTATTGCCTAAATATCCAATAGCGGCAATTGGGATACAAAGACACTATAAACATTCAGGCAAACAGCAAAAACCGTTCTTTTCAGAAGACCCTAGAAATTTTTATCATCCTTTTTCTCTGCTATTGATATTTGTCTATGATGCTTTCGAATTAAATTCATCCCCTATTTGAGGTTTTATCTTAATTTTCTTGAATCCTTAATTAGGTACCAGTTTCTTTATGTTTAGTCTTATGTAAACACCTTAATAATAATTTGATAACAGTCGTACAAAATTCACTGTCTGCACCGTAGCTGCGAAGCGATTACATCTAAGCTAGACGCAAGCCAGCTTCGGCGATTGCAAGTCATCTGGAGTCGGT